TGGAAGGCGAGGGAACATTTGTGTTAGCTAAAAGAGGATGGAGGTGCTAACCGCTGTGGGTGCTCATTACTAGAAAACAGGAGACGGTATCGGACAGGTGCATTTGCGATAAATAACTGCCCTGGCCATAACTGAACTCTCTGATCTTTGCTGAAAAACAAAAGGCATAGCTTCCCTGAAAGTATAGCCTGCATCTTAATGGATTAAAATTTCATCCGCCGCATTAGGTTCAGTAAAATATGAATGCATTGCTTTAAATTTTAATCATAAATCAGAGCAAGGATACATGAGAGGCGACAGTGATTTCTCCCTAGATGTCTGCATAGGTCAGGCAATGAAAGAGGGACTCTAATTTTATTTAGGCAAGTCCATTTGTGCACAAAGCCTGCAGGAAGACTAATGGTTTTTGAAGGCTTGTGAAGGCAGCCACGCACGAGTACCGGAGGGCTTGCCAGTGCTCTGGGTAGGCTGCATTTCACATCTGTCTGAGGCCATTCAGTGGCACAAGGTTGCAGTCAGACAAAGAGGCCTCCAAACCCACAACAGCAGCAACTGCTGCTGCAGCTGCTAGTACTACTACAACTACTTGAATTAAAGATTAATTTATCAAGTCGTTAATATAACATGAATAAAACCCTATTCAGGGCTATGCTAAAACAACAGTCAGAGTTCTAAACTTCCCTTCCCAATTTCATTCAGCTTTCTCATGGATTCCCAAAGATTTCCAATAATAGTTTCTAAGCACTTGGCATTTTGATTGAGGTGAAGCCAATGTCCAATTTCCAACTGAATGGCAGCAAGATGTTGTCTCTTTACAGAGGTTAAAGTGCAGAGACTATGGCTGTACACTATATGGCTCGGCTGTCCCCAGCCCTGCAACTTTTCCTGTTTTAAATGTTGAGATTCTGATTCAGTGTTCTGTTTTACGGACTAGGAAATTAGAACTGGTCTGAAAGATCAGTGCTTTCTGTACAGCGTCCCCTTGTGTGTTGCTTTTGTCACAGGGCTTCGAGGAAAGAACTAGGGTATGCATGTGGGTTTGTTTTTCTTGGAAATAAACAAACAAAAAGAAATGGAAAAAGAGGCTTACAACCACATGTCCAGGAAACAGCCAATATGCTTTTAATGACAATTGTTGTAAGCCAAATCACAGTAGATCTGCTTAAGTCTAATTCCCTCCAGTACGATGTGTTGTCCCTTTGCACACAGGATCGCTAGCAGTGCAAGTGACAGGATGCCTAGGAGAGAGTTTTTTTCTTTTCCCAAAAGTAAGCAAATCACTTATGTTTATTAATATTGGGGAGGGGGAGGGCACAGCAATTTGCTTGTTGCCCAGACTTTTGAAAAAGGAGGCCTTGGAGACTGCGAAGTTTAAATAATTTTGTAAGTAGCTCGAAACAAAGTTTGGCCACTTATATCGCTAGTCTTCTCTTTATTCCATGAATATATTATAATTCCTTATTTATCATAGGAGTGGTGGCGAGTGTTTAGCATTTTGGAGATCAGTTGTCAGTTGCTATTAAAATCAAGATTAATTCATATTAACGATATGCATTCTCAGTTCTCCCATGTGACAGCATACATTAAAACAACTAGTGCAAGTAATTAAACCCAATACAGGGGGTTAAATCTCTGATTTTTTTTTCCAAGAGGGTTTTAAACGTAAAGTTTGCTTGAGAGGCAAACACTAAATTCAGATTATCCTGTTAATTGTCATTTAGAATACAGGATAATTTTATGTTAACTCTTTTTGGGGAAACAAGACAAAACAATTGTCCTTGGACTTTTTAAAAAATGTCCTTTTAGTATAAATCTCTGATAGATATTGTTTGCTCAGATATTGTTTGCTCAGGATTCCTAACCTATAAGGCAAATATGGGCTGTAACTGCACAGACAGTTACCCAGAGCCACCAGGCTGCCCTTAGTTTCTCATCTCCATCCTTCAAATGCTTCTTACAAACCTTTTTTCAATATAATACAATGGAAATACAAGATTATCTACGGATTTTTTTATTAGGCATTTGAGATGCTCAATAGTTTAGACTAATTAGACAAGCCGAAAGCCTTTTGAAGATTAAGCAAATTGGACAACCCTTGTTAATTAGAACATAATTTAAAGTTTGAAATTATATCACTGATGAAGTAGCCTAATTAGTATGACGATATGTTAATAGCCTATCGAGACAGCCATGTGGAGGACTGGCGTGAACTCCTTAAAGGCTTGCAGGAATCTGCTCCCTTTCTGTGTTGTCATTAATAAAAGATTTCTATAGACTTCAGCCTTTCAACGGTTACATACAATTTATAGTACACACAATGCATTCGCCCATAGTGCTGCTCCTTTTTTTTACTATTATGAAAACTAATAAATTCGTCAAGCTGAATTAAGCATACAAATCAGATGAGGCATAACAGATTACATATTGAAGCGCTGTGTCTCCGGAGTCTAAATGAAATTTCAATCTAATAATTCCTTCCTGGCCCGGCCATAATTTGTTTAGAGATGTTGTTCCACTCTTTTCCAAGCGCTGTTCACACAATAATTAAATGATACTCAAGCTTTTAACTTTGATTTATTTCATTTCTATGAGCTGGCGACAGTGAGAGCTGATACAATGGATTTTTTTTATTTCCTTGAAAATTAGGAAACCTATCGTTTGGGGTGTGAAATTTGCTGGAGCCGCTGCTGTAAAATTAAAGCACAAAACAAGAGGCAAGGATACTGAAATAGGCTACTCTGAATCCTGCACGTACCCAGGCAGAACCTGCGCTTTAAAAGATGAAATGCATCCATCATAACTTTGACAGAGCCAAGAAACCGGTTGGGCTTAAATTCGGGAAATTTGGAACGGAATTCTTCCTATGGTTTGGGTGTCTCAGAGATACCAGATTGCAAGAGAGAGAGAGCTGGGGGTGATCTGAATCACGTTCTTCCCTTAGCTTTAACCTAGAGTGGCCCATTGCATCCAGGCAGAACCTCTGGCGTCTGAGGCTGAGCGGAAAGGCAATTACACCAGAGAAAGCTCCTGATGGTGGTGGTGAGGACGGTGGCAGGCAGGAAACATAACCATCATCTGGTCCCGGCCTCTGCTCCGTTTAATCTTGCCAATCCCTGTTCCCAGCAAGCACTCTTTTTTTTTCTGTAGCAGCCGCCCCTTGAGTCCTCACAACTCAGCCAGGCAACTACAAACAAAGGTGAAGATGTGGAAGGGGCGGAAGGGAGGAGGCAGAGCAGCCACAGCAACACCCTCTCTGGCACACGCCCACTTCCGAGGCAGCAGCAGCATCTACAGCAGCCGCCGCCAATTCCCAAGACACAGAGCCTTCCCCCCCCGCCCCGCCGCGACAGGATAAATTCAGGCGCCACGAGCAACGGAGCGGGGCTTTTCTGCCAGCCCGTCTGCGGGACGAGGTGCGCGCGGGGTCTTCGCGCTCCTCTGCGCCAGCGATGCTTCTCTGAGGAGCCTTTCATCCCGGTGGCAAAGCCGTGCGAACCATTCGAAGTGAAAGACTTTCACGTGTAGCCAGACGCTCGTTCTTTATCTCTTTCTGCCTACCTGGTGGAATAAAGTTCAGTTTCTCCCCCTCCCTCCCCCATACACTACAGCAACGACATGGGCTAAAGCCGGCCCTGACGCATGACCATCACACGTGCCTTTACACAGAGACACACACAGAGAGAGACGAATACACCCTCGTGGTCCACGTCGACCCTCCCCGCATCCACAATGCCTACTTATAACCATAGTTCTTTCTGTAAACCACACACCCTGTCTTTCTTCCGGGAAAGTTCAGCTGGTGCGCCCAAGGATATGTAAAAGCCCTCAATGATCTGTGTCCAAACCCCGTTTTTCCCCCTTCGGCTCTTTCTAAGGGAATTCTTAATCAATGACCAGGATAGGGCTTTGCACACAACCTCCCCACACCTTGCCTTTGTTCCTCGCATTCTTTCTCTCCCCCCCCCGCCCCATTTCGTCTATTTGCCCCTCACGTGTTGGCCACATTGCGACAAGCACTCTAGTTTTCCACACCAGGTGTCCTCGCCTAGTTTTTCACATATCGCGCCAATATATTCCCCATTATATCCCTTTCCGATATCCCTCACCATCTTTTATAGTATTTACAACTAAACACCTCCTCTCCCGCTATTCCTCTTTCTGTCTGTCTCTCTCTCTCTCTTTGGCACACATACTCACTTTCACACAGGCAGAAAGTGAGCCGGTGTCACCACGCACTCCGTCTCACTCTATTCCCCACCTCAACCCCCTCCCACTCACCCTCAATCTTCTGCCTCACACTCAGCCCGCCGTTCACTCACACGCGCGCTTTCGCAGGGCGCATGCGTCTTCCCCCAGTCAGCCCTAAGCTCGCCCTCGTCCAATGGGGGGAGAGCAGCAAGTAACAGAGGGAGCGAGGGAGCTTCGCGCAGCCCAGTTATGCTGAGGTCTCTCTTGCAATAGGCACCTGTCAGGCCAAGGTGTGCGGCAGCCTCCAGGCTGAGGCGGCGGAGGCAGAAGGGAGAACAATAGGGCGGTCCTAGCATCCTCTGGCGCCTCAGGGAGGGAAACCGGCAGAGCGGAGAGCGGGCGGAGGCAAAGCCTCTCCGGGCTCTCCAGTCGAGCAACAGCTGGGCTCGGGCTCTGAAGGCGAGGCGGGTGGAAAGGTGGGGGTGGGGTGGGGGTCCTTTGGGCGTCCAGAGTGAGGGCGGGAGGGAGACGGGGAGCCTCGGCGGGAGCGCGGGGAGAAGGCGGGCAGCGAAGTGTGTGTGTGGGGGGTGAGAGGACGAGGCAGAAGAGGAGACGGACCCGGGGAGCGGGAGGGAAGCGGGAAAGCAACAGACCTTCCCCAAAGAGTTGGAGGGTGTCTAGGGGCAAGGCAAGGGGGTGGGTGGGCAAGGCGAGTAAAAAGCCAGCGGCGCGGCGGCTGGAGGGTCACTCTGACGCCGGAGCTTGGCGAGAGGCGTCGGCGTCGGCGGCACCGGAGGGGAGAGAGAGGCGAGGAGGCGCTCCCTGTCAAGCCAGGACTGTGAGGAGGAGGAGGCGGCGGCTGAGGCGCCTGCGACGCCAACCACAGCTGTGGCAGCAACTTCTCTGTACGCCTATTTTCCCGCCTCTTCTTCGGCCCCCGACCCGCCGGCCAGGATGATGATGATGTCGCTGAACAGCAAGCAGCCCTTCAGCATGGCCCACGCCAACGGCGGCGGCAGCCTCCACGAGCCCAAGTACTCGGCCCTGCACTCCGCCTCGCCCTGCACCTC